ACATTTTCAGTGGCAGTTTTAATAATTCAGTGTACAGCCTCTCCTCACTTAAAGACATACGTGCTCGTTTACCGTCGCCTTGGACTTACGACGGGCTCTTTGACCAGTATTCATACCTAAATAATGTATATTAGAGCTGATTTCCTCTATTTTGTTTATTTCAATATACAGTACACTGCTGTATAAACATTTAAAAATATACCATAAATGTTATATGTGGTGCAAAGGTGACATTAAAGCAATATCAAAGATGGTTGTCACAAGCTCACTACCATTATAGTATGCTCCTCACTTAGCGACAGATTCGTTTAACGACTCGGTCTTAGTAACAGAACTCTGTCGCTAAGTGAGGAGAGGCTGTATTTAAAATACTGCATTGGGGTCAATATTTTGGGATTTTGATTGGTAATAGTACATATACAGTATGCAGTAAGATCACAGTAAGCAGGTGATATCACAATATGCAGAACAAATAGTGAAATTTCAAGTACTTTCATGATTTCTCATATCAAGGAACTGTTCTTTGATGTGAGAAATGAAAGCACTTGGAATTTCACTATTTTTTCACAGTGGTTGTTCTGTATATACAGTATGTAACAGCAAGCTGAAATCCCCATGTAGTAAAAAGGAAATGCCACTAGAGGGCAACACAAGTGAAAACTTTCTATCCAGCTTGCTAGTTTCTTTTTAACACGCTGGTCGTCACCCTGCCTTGGTGGGAGACGGCCAGCGTGTTGAAAAAAAAAAGCTAGCTGGATTAAAAGATTTTGCTCATGTTACCCTCTGGTGGCTTTTCTACATGGGTGTTTCATGCCAATTATTATTTTTCTCATCTACGAGCACTAAGTGCATAGTGGTAATACAAGGTAAGGTGAATCACAGAAGGAAAAATCATTCATCATTGTTCATTCAATAGTTCGTTTGATAATTTAGAAACTATTTTTATAGGATGGAGTTCTTTTTATCGTTATCTTTAACCCTTTCAGGGTCCGTCCCGTAGATCTACGGCTTTACGTTCAGGGTCCAAACCGTAGATCTACGCCATGAGCTCAGCTCACTCTGATAAACTGTGAGTAGTACATTTGGGCCTAGATATGAGAGAATACATCTATGTGGTATGTGTGCACCACATAAAACAGATCCTGCAGCACACTGTGTATAATGAGAGAAAAAAAATGAAATCATGATTTTTCGATTAAAACAGCAACTTTGCAGTGTTTTTTCGTATGTTTTTTATAGTTGTATTTGCGATTTCTTGGTCTCATTTGATAGAATGGAAGACATATTACAGAAATAGAGATGATTTTGATTGGTTTTAGCACTGGAAATGGCTTGAAACTGAGCTCAAAGTAGCGGAAATGTTAAATTTTTGCCGATATTCAAGAGTAAACAAACGACCTCACACGTCTAATACACGTCAGCTGGTGGGTCTAATATACATTCACAAATATGGTGATGATATTTATACATTATTACAGTATTGCATAACAGTAAATCTTCTATTTTTTGGTGTGAATAAAAATTCATTATGTGAATAAAAAATCAAAATGGAATTTATTTGTAAAGCCTCAAAACATAACTAATGAACAGAGGAAATGTTAGTTTAGTGCCAGGAATGCCTACATTGTTTATTCTGGACCCTATTTTGAAATTGGAATATTTTGAACTTTGTGTTAAATTGGCCAAATTAACAATTTCCGATCACTTTATTTTGTAGTTGGAACAGTTGACTTGGCAATTTCTTGTGCTCAATCGATAGAATAGAAGTAATACTAGTGAAATAGCTAAGAATTTGGTTGATTGGAATAATGTAATTGGCCTAAAATGGGAGTCAAAGTCGGCAAAATCGCCGATTCGTAAATATCGCTGACACATCAAAATTCGCGAGAGCATAATTTCACCAATTTTCCACCAAATTTCATACTTTTTGTTTTATTACCTTCACAAAAAGATTCTCTACGATTTCATAAGAAAAAATAACAAATTTTTTTTTTGAAAATTCTTGGACACTGGTGCGTGACTCCAGATTTGGGCCTTGGACCCTGAAAGGGTTAACCCTTTCACTGTCTTGTATATAGATCTGCATCACTGACACCAAGGTCACTTATGCTGATCTGTGTTTTGAGCTCAGCTCCCTAAGATAAGCTGAAAGTTGTAAATTTTGGTCTAGACATGAGAGAATAAGTCTGTGCAGTGAGTGTGTACAGTATGAAAAAAAATCATGCCCCATGCAGTGCATGATGGGAAAAGCAAACTGTGTGTTTAGTTTAAAATAGCATATGTGAGATGTTTCCTAGGATGGTTTTAGTGGCTATTTCTTGGTATCAATAATAGAATAGAAGGCATACTATTGAAATAGAGATGGTTTTGGTTAGTTTCAGGACAAAAGTAGCTTCAAATTGGACTCAGAGTAGCGGAAATATTTTATTTTTTCCTATTTTACAGAAGACGGGTAAGGCTCCCCTACACCCCTATGGTTTCTTTTGTTGGTTTTTACTATGGGAGGTCTGATTCAGTTGTTGGGATGCCATAAACTGTGACCAATTAATCCTTGTTATATTTTATTATCCAAGAAGTTAGGTAAAACTTAAATTTTTTGTGTGATGAATTCAAAATGGAGGGCAAGTGTTGTATAGTAGAGGCCTGAGGATGTGATTAGTAAACTGACAAAATGTTGCTTCAGTGCCTGGAATGTCTACAATGTTTAATTTGGACTCTGTTTTTAAATTAGAATTTTTTTAATTTTGTGTAAGGTTTTTTGTGCTCACTTGATAGAACAGAAGGCATACTAGTGAAATAGCTAAGAATTTGGTTGAATTTAGTAATGGAATTGACTTAAAACAGAACTCATAGTGGGCAAAACTGCCACTGCATAAATTGCACCCAGATGGTTAACTTTGTACCTGTGTAATTTCATTAACCCCAACAGGGTCCAAGGCCCAAATCTGAAGTGGTGCCCCAGTGTCCAAGAATTTTCAAAAAAAAAAAAAAATGTTATTTTTTCTTATGAAATGTTAGAGAATCTTTTTGTGGAGGTAATAAAACAAAAAGTACGAAATTTGATGGAAAATTGACGAAATTATGCTCTCGCAAATTTTGATGTGTCAGCGATATTTACGAATCGGCAATTTTGCCGACTTTGACTCTCATTTTAGGCCAATTACATTATTCCAGTCAACCAAATTCTTAGCTATTTCACTAGTATTACTTCTATTCTATCGATTGAGCACAAGAAATCGCCAAGTCAACTGTTTCAACTACAAATTAAAGTGATCGGAAATTGTTAATTTGGCCAATTTAACACAAAGTTCAAAATATTCCAATTTCAAAATAGGGTCCAGAATAAACAATGTAGGTATTCCTGGAACTAAACTAACATTTCCTCTGTTCATTAGTTACATTTTGAGGCTTTACAAATAAATTCCATTTTGATTTTTTATTCACATAATGAATTTTTATTCACACCAAAAAATAGAAGATTTACTGTTATACAATACTGTAATAATTGTATAAATATCATCACCATATTTGTGAATGCATATTAGGCCCACCAGCTGGTGTGTATTAGACGTGTGAGGTCGTTTGTTTACTCTTGAATATCGGCAAAAATTTAACATTTCTGCTACTTTGAGCTCAGTTTCAAACCATTTCCAGTGCTAAAACCAATCAAAATCATCTCTATTTCTGTAATATCTTTTCCATTCTATCAAATGAGACCAAGAAATCGCAAATACAACTATAAAAAACATGCGAAAAAACACTGCAAAGTCGCTGTTTTAATCGAAAAATCATGATTTCAGTTTTTTTCTCTCATTATACACAGTGTGCTGCAGGATCTGTTTTATGTGGTGCACACATACCACATAGATGTATTCTCTCATATCTAGGCCCAAATGTACCACTCACAGTTTATCAGAGTGAGTTGAGCTCATGACGTAGATCTACGGTTTGGATCCTGAACGTAAAGCCGTAGATCTACGGGACGGACCCGGAAAGGGTTAAATTTCATATTCTTAGTCATTATCTTCAGAAAAAGATTCTTTAGGATTTTAGAAAATAACCTATTTTTAAATGCTGACTTAATTACAGGTTTTCTGACAGTGAAGGGGTTAAAAACAAATTTCTAAATTGTTTAGACTTAGAGAATTTCCCCTGCATGTTATCTGGTGACTTTTCTTTCAAGTATAGTATTTTTCATTACTTTTATAGTCAAAGCTTGCTGAAGTTAAAACCATTGAATTCCGTCCTATAACAAGTCAGTTACGTACCCAGTTTTACTCTATTGCAATTTAAATGTAAATAAAATATTAATGTTCCTTTATTGTATATCTTTTTTTTTTTTTAATTTTATGAGCTCTTTGAAAGTGGAATTCTGGGCAAAAATGTCTTAAAATTTAAAATAAATATGAGCTTCCATACATTCTTTTTCTTTCTCTTCTTTCTTTCAAGGTACGTACAAAATTTTTCTTTGTGTAGCTGTAAGGGAAATTCTCTGCTGAATCACTGCT